CTTATCCAAGATTAACAAGCTCTAGTATTTGCCTATATTCAACTTTGACTTTCTATGGTAGCTTAAATTTATGGGAAAATTGCAGTTTAGTTTTAATATTTGGCGTGTGCGTTAAATTGGTCCCTAATATTTCGTCTAAAATAAATTTGATCTTTAAAGTTTCTGATTTTAAGCATATTTAGAATTATTAATAGAAATTTAAGAATGACTAAAGATCAATATCAAATTTTCATTAGTCAACAATTTAGACTCTACACTTTTGGTCTATCCAATATTTTAATTTTGAGTCATTATATTTTCCTCTATTTTAAATGGTGACATTAAGAAGTGTGGAGGTGAAAATTTTGAACCCCTGACATGGACTTGTGAATAAACTCACGTGACTTCTTGGTCCACCCCTTATTGCCGGCCCTTAGTGTACAAAATAGTACTAAAAGAATCCTTATTTTTCTTTTTTTTTTTTAATGGGCGTGGACTCTACTCTCATTGCAACAGATAGGGTGTACCTGATAAAATTGAAATTTGAAAATTGAAATTTGAATTCATTAAATTATGAAATTGTTACGTAATATATTTGAGTGTATATCACACATTCAGTTCAGTGATAAGTGAATAGATTATCACTTAATTTTGAGAGTAAGTTTTGTTTAGAAAATTCAGTATCACTTAATTATTTCGAATGTTTAATTTTTTATTATCAAACGATTTGAATATGTTAAGATTTGAATTCATTCAATTTAAATGCTGAACTGAATTATCAAACATGGAGCAGCCAAGCACGATCGTTGGTTCCTCGAAAGGCAGTCGGCACGGAGACGGAGGAAGAGTGGGCAAAGACGCTACGACAGTTGCACGTGCCGTTGTTTACTGTTGACTGTGGGCTTGCTTCTTGCAATACAGGAATTCTCCTTAGGGCGCGCTAATTCAGGACCCGGTGGGTCCAATGCGTCACGTGGAGATGCCAGAGTGGATTAAGTAGAACGAAGAACGGCAGCTTAGCAAAATCTTCCATAATCCCCTCGTAACCAATCGCCTTTGTGCTCCCACGTGGGGCTGCTGACCCCACCCAATGACATCACCGTATCACTTCTTTTGTTGAAATTGTTTGACACCATCTGCATCGCCAACTCAACTATTAACTTCGCCCTTTTCTATTATTATTTTTTTTTATCGGTCCAGTAGTTTCTTCTGCTTTCGTTCCAGCGCTTTTCTTTGCTCTCCTTTCCCTTCCATTGATCCTCTCCTATTCAGCTCGGCTGCTCTTATTTTTGCTTTATTTTCAACTCAACTCTACCCGTGGATATATTGCATAAATCGATCTCCGGTGTAGTCACTGAAAAAGCCTTGAAGAACTTAGCTCCCAAGTCCTGAGTGGAGACGAAGTTTCCCTGGAGGCGTTTAACATGGCTGATTCTTCATCACCTCGCGAGTACATCCATCTGGTAAGCGCAATTAATGTTCAGTATCCTAAGATACTTGATAGAGGTAGAGCTGCGGCTACTCTTTTTTTTTTTATGTTTTTTTTTCAAATGGGAGGATTTACAAGGTACGTAGATGATAGGATATTGGATCATGATATGCAGATTCAGCATCTGATAGAAGAGTGTATCTTATTCCATATGAGCAAAGAGGAATGCATGGAAGCTCTCTTCAAGCATGCAAATATCAAACCGGTCATTACTGCCACCGGTTAGTAGTCGTCAACTTAAACAGCTCTGAATTTACTCTCAACCCCTTCTTCTGGCCATGCTGTTAGAGACAGACTAAAAGTTTTAAGTTGAAACACAAAACCCCCCCGCGCTTAGTTATTTATTTATAGCTGTTGATGATGATCTACTACGCGGGTGATCAGCTAGAAAGCACATGCACGCCAACAGATTTATAAATCTTTACTTATACGTATGTGTGTGTAAGTTTTTAGTTATAAGAGTTCAATTCTAGAAGAACATAGAATCTATGAAAGTCAGTAAGAACCTCTAAACTAGAATAACGAATCCATTTGAAGAATTTTTTTTCAGTAATTTAAAACTTCTCTACAAAAAGATTCTTTGTAAAAATAATCTTTTATTAAATGAGTCATTTTTCTTCGTTGAAATCGAATATATGAATGAAAGAAGTAATCTTTTGCAAAATACTTTTTTTTTTTCTGCTAAGGGTTTGTTTGAATTGTAAATTATTTGAAATATTTTTACTGTAGCACTTTTTGTGATGTGATGTATGTGAGATAAAAAGGTAATTGGGAAGATAGAAAGCTGTATTGAAAATTGTAACGGTGATGTAAGCAAATATATTTGGAGAAATAATCCACTATCCAAACAAACCCATTAATATAGGTCTCAATTGATTCCACAATTTGGATTATTGGAGTTCTCGGATCGGGATATATATATGTATATGTATGTATGTATATGTATGTTTGTGCAGTGAGACACATGTTGCGTGTGAGATTGCCCTTTACCCAAGTTTGTCTTTAGGAAAAGAAAATACTGTCAAATTTTGAGATTCAATTGATTAAACGATGATAATTCATCCGGAATTTCAAAGCCACTGGTACGTACCTCGTAAAGAACTCCACGTACTTTTAAACAGTTTTGACTTGTTGTCGGATCTCATGATTTTGAAAAACAAAAATAGTGAACAAATTAAAAAGGCTACGGTACAGTACAGTGAATTAATTAACCCGACCACGGTTCTTTTTTACTTCCTGAAAGGAAAGGAAGTTAATGATGGATGGATTATTATTACTTTAGTTAAAAATAATATATGTCGTATACATATATTATTATAGCTTCTTAAATGGATGATCCAGTGTGGAAGGAGCTGGAGAAAGAGAACAAGGAGTTCTTCCAAGCATACACGAAGGATAGGGAGGAAAGAGCGTCTGAAACGGAGACGCGACAAAGGATCCAAAAGAAGATGCTTTCGCATTCTTCCGCTGCCAAAGATACCGGGGAGGATGACTAGTTTGTTTTATTCTATCTCAGAATTCAGGCAAAACGTCGTTTACGAAACTGGGATGGTGTCCCTCTCTCTCCAAATTGGCATTGTGATTGATGGCTGATCAAATATTAGTAGAACTCTGTGGACTGGACTGCGTCCGTCCTAGTCAAGGGCCATAAACAGCTCCACCCTCTGTAATCTGTAGTGTCGTCTCGTCGTAGATTAGGCCTTGCTTGGATTGAAGGTTTTCGTCGGAAAATATTATCGTTTTCCGTGATCACATTTCCCTATCACCTTTTTCCCTCACATATATCAAATCGCTACAGTAATTTTTCCATGAAAAATGACGGAAAATGCAATCCAAACACAACCTTAGTTTTTCTTTTTCCACGTCTCCAAATTGGCATTGTGAATGTAGGCTCAGACGTGGGTGAGTGGTGACATGTGGCTTCACCCGCACTGCCGCACCTTTTCGCGTGTCCGTCCGTGGGATGGTTTCTGCCTCCACAGTCCACACTGATTATTTTAAGAAAAAATGGCTAATTAGAGTCGATTTAGTCCCTAATTTTTATTTCTGATTAATTTACTCCTTAAATTTATTTTTTGAATTCAAATTAAGTTCCTTTGCGGCGGTGCCATCACTTAAAAGCAATCGGATTTCTAATTTAATGGTTAAATAATGGTATTTCAGAAACTTTAGGTATAGATTGTAATCAAACTAAGTAAATTAAAAAAATCAATAGTCCTTGAGGTATTTTTAAATTTTAAAACTCTGTTAAGGTTTTAAAAAATTTTAATTAACTTCTTAACCCTCCCCTCCCCTCACATCAACCATTTCAACAATTGAGCAAAAGGCCGGAGTGATGATTATGACAATGCAGCAATTGTGGCTAACAAATGCTCCAGCAACGATTGCGCAAATGACTGGGATCTTCTTTTCTCCACCAGCCATAATGGTAGCAAAAAGTGATAAAATTTGCATATTTATGCTATTTTTACTTGAGCCATAAAGCATTTCTAGATTTCCTCTTCAACTTTCTCAATTATAATATAAATTCAGAGGTAGGGGAAAGAGGATTGGGAGAGAGAGATGTGGAAGGAGAAGGGTAGGAGGAGAAAGGGGTGGGTGACTAGTGATGGAGGTTGGTAGTGGAGAGAGGGATAATCCAAAATTTTTAGGTGGTGGCGGCGCCGCCTCAGAAGGTTGTAATTGGATCATCGGCCAAAAATAAAAATTAAGGATTAAATTGATGACTCTAAAAAAAAAATTTAGAAACGGAATTGGCCATTTTTCCTTATTTTAATCATCATCATCATTTTGCCTTTCCCGATCCTTCACTACTATTACACGACTTGTGTTGTAATTCGAAAGATATTTTCTTGCTCTTTTGTAAGCAATGAGCTCTGCTGTTTGCCTGATGATGAATTAAATGAAGCAAAGAAGGGGGACCGTTTGGAAGGTGTTATGATGTGTCTCTCTCAATTGTACGTGTCCCTAGGCCTAGGGGACCCCCTACCCCAGCTGTGTTTTTTGGTTTTTCCTTATTTTTGACGTGTTCCCAATCACGATTTCTTTTATTTAGATTAGATATATAATGAAGTGCTCTAAAAACTTCTATCATCTGCTTCAACAAGCTCATAAACATTATCATGATTAGATATATGATATATATGTAAAATTTGAATTTCAAATTCAAATTTAGATTATTTTTCATGCATCTAAGAATGAAATTATATATATTGGCAGTCAGTGTATTGAAAATTAATTCTATAAATATTTCAAAATTTGACGGGAGGAAGAAATCTTAATCTGGTAAAAGTCCACAGCGCTCATTTTCAAATTGATGGGGGAAGAAATCTTTATTGTTACGCGAACCCAACACTGAACAAGTATCCATGAGTCCACAAGCGATATCAACGAAGCAGTCAACGGGAGAAACCCAATCAGTAGCCCGACACAAGTGGCAGTACAATAATGTGTAGCAAGCCCAAATTTTTACTTCAAACAGAAATTGAAAGCCCAATAGCACATAATGCGTTGAGCGGTCTTTCAGAATCTTTTCATTTTCAGAGCCTTCTTGCTCTTTCTCCTCGATTTCTTGGTTAGCCACCACCTCACCAGGGTTTTAGGTCTCCCCTCCTCTCGTGTTTCTTTGCTCTCTTATAAACGTTAATAAAACCTCACCACCACCACCACCACCGCCGCCATGTATTGCACTGGTGAACCAGTTGCTGCTAAATTAAACCTGGGTCACCAGGCCCTCATCCCCTCAGTCCCTCACCGCCGTCCGCTCTTCTCAAGACCCATCTCTTCTCTCTCCTTCATAGCCCCACCTCCATCTCAAACCGCATCTTTCAAATTCACCCCCATCACAGCTTCCTCCTCGTCCTCATCTGAATTCCCTTCTTCAAACTCCTCTGACAATGAAAACCCTAAGCCCCGTCTCTTTAACAAACCCCTAAACCCCCTGCAAAACCTTAACCCTTATTTTTCCCAAACCCTCGCCACATTCCCGTCCACTTTCATCAAAACCACCCTCATTGCAGCCACAGCGGCTGCTGCGATCTTCTTTTCGAGGTTCCATTTCTTTAATGTCAAACCAGCCTTCGCCTCCTCTGCTGGGGCAGCTGCCGCTGCTGTTGAAGCTGCCTCAAAGGACACCCTTGATGAGGCAGAAAGGGAAAAAGCCATTGAAGAGCACTTGCTTTCCCACTCGAATGACGTCGAAGCCCTCCGAAATTTAATGGAAATTCGAATTAAAAACCGGAAAATGCTAGAGGCCATTATGATTGTGGAGAAATTGATAGAACTGGAGCCGAATGAAGTGGAGTGGCCGTTGATGAAGTCTCATTTGCACGTTTACAGTGGTGAGCTTGAATTTGCAAAAAATGGGTTCAGCGGGATCATATCAAAAGACCCTTTTCGAGTGGAGGCGTACCACGGCCTTGTAATGGCTGCATCCCAGGATGATTCGACGGAGGAATTGAAGGATATTGAGAGGAAGATTGAGGATGCAATGAAGCTGTGTAAGAAAGAAAATAAGAAGAGTGATTTGAGAGATTTTAACCTTTTACTGGCCCAAATTCGGGTGATCGAAGGGAAGTATGACGATGCACTGAAATTTTATCAGGAATTAGTTAGGGAGGAGCCAAGGGATTTTAGGCCGTATTTATGTCAAGGGATAATATACACTCTGTTGAGGAAGAAGGATGAGGCCGAGAAGAGTTTTGAGAAGTATCGTAGGTTGGTACCAAAGGGGCATCCTTATGCGAGGTATTTCGAGGACAATATGATTGCAACAAAGGTTTTTGCGCAAAAGGTGGAGAATGACAAGGTTCGCTCAAGGAGTTGAGGATGTTTGTCAGGTGTCAAGAACGGCTTTCGATTTTCTGGTGGGGAGTTGCGATACACTAAGGTTTTTGTTTGCTTTGCTATGTTTCTACAATATGGTATTTTGGACATTGAGGTGGTATATTTTATTTTTTTCCCCCTTTTTCCATTTCTTCTTTTGTAGGCTGTTATGTGGAGTTGTACTTACTGTGGTTAAATGGAGGTGACATAGGGTGGGGAGATTTTGTGGTAGTGGCAATGAAAGTAGTGGCCGTGGGCTCTCTAATTATTTGGAATGGTATTCTCGACGACTGCTTTAGTCAATGAAGAAAGAATACAGAAAGCATCCTGTTTTATGTTTTTGGAGCGCTCTTCATGGTGCTGTATTTATGCAATAAGATACCCATAAGTCTGCATCTCGTGTAAACCTGAACTCTGTGGTTGGTTAGAAATATGCTTCAGCAAAATCCTAATCAACGTAGGAATGTAGTCTTGACAAGCATTCCTGTCAAAAGATTGAAATGTTTAATTCTTCAAGTCCTGAAGTTTATTGTCTGTCACTTACATCGAGCCTATCTTTAATGTTAGTGGCCTAGCAGTATGAAGTATGCTTTGTGAAACTCTGCCGGTTATAGTATCACTTCTGCTGCCAACGATCTTTGCGCCGTGGCAAAATGCATGCCGTCCTATGGAGTTTTGGGGCCAGATTTCTGAGTGAAGTCATGACATTTCGTGTTAGGATTCTTATGGTTTTTTGTTTTGGTAGGCTAGAAGGGAAGTATTAGCTAATTGTTGGTACTTTAGATTTGAACCTGATGGTTATCAGTGGTTTTGCTTTGCTTTAATGTTCACTTAGAAGTAAAAAGCAGTATTGACTGGACAACTTAATCCAGTTTTCAATTTTGTCTTGCTTTTCTCACTGATACAATCAAACCGAATGAGGTTTAAGTATTGATGATCGGTCTAATACCCCTACATATGCTGTTTCTTGCTGCACCAACCAAAGATTTCTCAGCCCTGTTCTAGGATGTAATGTACTTCAAGCTTGTAATCCCAAGGATTATGTATTCTGATGGAGATCCTGATGTGGAAATTAGATACATTTTTTTTTTTGGGGTGCCAGGCTACCAGCTACCCGACATCTTATCCTGCATCCAACTTCAGCTGCACAGTGCAAACTGTAAACTACAAATGATGTGGGTGTGGGTGCAAGTTAACTTCCTTCTCTCTAACCTGTTAGAACTTAGAAGAAAGAGTTTTTTGGGGAGGGGGGGGGGTTTCAATGGGGATCTGATGACTCCGCAAGGCTTTGGCAACTTTCTAGGCTTCAGTTTTGCAAGACCCACCCGATTGAGTTAGGAATATTTTGTCGGAATGGATATGTTTGTTGTATTGCATCTAACCCAAATTTCCAGTTCCAGAAACAACCGGCGCCGCGCCCCCTCCTACCTATAGCTACTAGGACTAATTGAGAATTTGGACACCGGATTTTTTTGGTCTTATCTCAGGAACATTTCGAACCGCTAAACGCTGGGACTAAAGACGATTGGACCCAGAAATTCTTGCCGGGCCTTTTCCTCGTCCGATGAAAACAGCGACGCATCAAATCTAACGACCGCATATGGTTTGGGGTCCCCCCTTCCTTGGGTTGTCCCTCCTTCAAGATGGTGACAGTGCCTTATTTGCTGTGGTTATGCAGTGCTGATTACAGATTGTTACACTACTATTGATTGAAGAATTGCCACGACGGTTAGTAGTATTGAATGGACGTCGAGTTGGGAGTTATAGAAATAATAACAGCAACTTTTGTAGGAATTGTGAGGTCCTCCTTTTATGGCAAATGAATGAATGATTGAATGAATAACATGGGCAGTCGTCAATGAAGCTGATTCCTCGCCTGAATTTGGTGGTGCAAAGGGCTGCTGCCTGCTCCATCTTCAATGCCCTATGACCCATCCAGACTTGGGCTGCGTCGCGTTTGGACCTATTTTACCAGAAGCGATGGAATCTCCCTCGAAAGCATACAACTCCAGAATCAACCCTTCGTTCACTTTAGCCATTTCTTAAATCTTTCCATCTTGCGTTGCAATTAATAATATGTCCCCCTTAAATCTTGACCCACAAGCAAGTGTGTCGATCTATTGCTGAAGTTCAAGCTCTTTAATGCACTAGAAATTTTGAGGCCATGTACTTTAAGCCCGCTCTGCTTTTTATTTTATTTTATTAATATACGGTATTAACATAATGTGTGTCTTTGGATAGGAGATTATTTGGGCTAATTTTTTTAAAAAAAAAAAATACTATAGCACATTTATGATATGATGTATGCAAAATAAAAAGATGATTGAAAAATGTATTGATGATGCGAGTAAGTAAGTCAGTGCGTGTGTAAATAATGTGTAATTCAAACAAACTCACAGACGTTATGTACTTTAATTTTTGTTTTTTTTTTTTGACTTTTATTTTTTTAAAAAAAATTTGTTGGCAATACGACTCTACTCTCGCTCCAAAACCAGCATGTCAGAATAACCAAACTATTTCTTTTCCTTTTTTTTTTCCCCCGCTTTTGTTTTCTGTATGCCATGAAGACTTGGTCCGTTTTGGTGGGAATATATTATATTAGTGCAGAAAGTCTTTTCTGTTTCCCATTAAGAAATAGAAAAGCTCGGAAATTCTTTACATTGGCATGCCTATTGTTTACTTGACAAATTATTATAATCGGCAATTATGCATTGTGTTTAACCCTCCAAATGGTGTGCCTTGACTTTAACACCCTATTCTATCTCCTAACCTAATCATTCATGGCCTTGCAAAGGCAATGGTTGTCGGTTGGGGCCTACAAAACCGCTTCAATTAAGGGAATTGCTTTATCATTATCTTTGTTAATTTATGCGGTTAAACAGCGAAAAACAATTTCCCTTTTTTTTTTGTTTTTTTTGGGTTCTTACCTCTTGAAGATCAATGGTGATGAGGCATGCTCAATTTGACTGAACGTTAATGGACAAAAAACCAATAACAAACGAGGCTACATTGTTTGTAGGTGAATAGGCTTTATAGTTTCTAGACTTGCCACTCTATTGGTTCTGGAAGTTTTTTGTCGAGTTTAGGTCTTGGTGCATGAAATTTTTGCCATAGATCCGCTGACAGCGAAAGAGATGATGCAAATTTTTTTTTTTATTGGATAGTACCATCGAAGAAAGTCTTCCATGTCGAGAAAGAAAGCACCATGCATTTGTCCTGACCTGAAGCAACCGGCCCTTGTCGCGTCACCCTGAATACCAACTAATCTGCTTCGATCTTCTATACTACTTCTACTACTATACATTAATTAATCTGCCTTCTTTCCATAGAGGCACAGTGAAAGCAGGTGATAGACGTCGCGTGTGTCTCTACATATATATATATATTTTATGATACGGTAGGATTGTATTACTAAGACAAAAGTGTGTACGAGCGAGCAAAGGATCGAATTTTACAATGTGCCATTAGCACAACGGATTGGGATTAATCATCTTTTCCTCATCTTGATAAGTGCTCAAAGCTTAAACACTAAATTGAAAACTTAGGTCATTCCTGTTAATCATTCCTAGGCAAAATGAGCATTTGTAAAACATAATGCTCAGTTTCTTGGATGATAGACGTAGTAGAATCAGTACTTTGTTAAATTTAGAGTGTGTTTGGATTGCATAGTTTTGAAATAAAATAATTTATTTCACAAATTTCAATCACATTTTTATCCTACATACATTACATCACATCACAAAAAGTGCTACAGTAATTATTTCAAATAAATCATCCAAACAAACTCTAGCATCATTCATCTGGCTATCTTAGAATTACTTTTCTACAGCTGACAAATGGCACTAGAAAAATGAGATTTATAAGTGAAGAATATTAATTTGATAAGAAAAGAAAGAAGACTCTTCAAAAACTTTGAACAAGTCTTTAATTGTTTGGACAGCTATTTTGTAAGAAAATTTTTTTTGCATCTTTTCATAAATACTTATTTTTTAAAATATTTTTAATCATTTTTTTACTTCACACGCGTCACGTCCTAAAAAATATTACGATATATTTTCCTAAAAAGTTGCAAACATATACTATTTGAAGTTAGGGCAATTTTAGAAATTCTCGAGAAGAAACCTTAATAATGAGGAAGCATATAATTGGCGTTGCATGGACATTGGGAGGTCTAACAAGAGAGCCCACCATTCACGACTGGTAGCATTTGCTTGTTATGCGGTAAATGTGGAGACAACAGAATCAAATGATTCTCCCAATGTTTCATTTTGTTTCGGGTCCACAAAAAAATTTGGTTTTTGCTAGTTGCTGTGATCGGACGCTGAAATTCAGAATGCATTCACCTTTGGCTTCGACAAGCGATAGCGTGCGTGGAAAAAGAATGTACGAGTAGTTGTTAGTATAATAAATCTTTGGCGTACAAGATTGACCCAATTTTTTTGAAAAAAGAATTAGTTTAGAGGTTGATTATGTAATTAAGATTGTGGCTTTACGTGGTAAACTTGAACAATCGATTCGCAATAATATTGGTAGCAGCAGCAGTACAATAATTCAACTGATATAAAATCATCCAAATATATAGAAGTTGTCCTGTTTCAGAAGCCTTATTGCGACCGACAAAACCAAATTTCCACTGGTACTACTACTTGGTAAATGGCAAGTGCTATTGGGGTAGGAAAATGGCAAGGTGAAATTTCACATAGATTTTGTAGGGTCCATGACACGTTTTTCCCTTTAAGTTTACGGGAGGGGTTTTGGTCACCCGTCAGTCAATCGGAACGATGTCGCCCTCGCCAGCCCAGCGGACAAAAAATTTTTGTTTTTTTTTTTTTTCTGAAACGGAAATAAACACACACACAACTAATTAAATCACACACAGGACAGGAGTAAACGAAAAATCGGCCAGCGGACAAATTTGCATCTGCAGATTCTAATCCACGTCCGTATCAACGAGATCACCATTGGCCACAACAATAATCAACCATCTAATCTAATCTAATCAAAGCAATAATGTAGTACAAATGTTTGTCATACTATTAGGCCCGACTCACCATCGAGATAAAAAATGGACAGCAAGTAGTTGTCCATTTATCAAAGCTCCCCCCTCCCAAGAAGTAATAATTGATAAAAACCCAAAAAAAAAAAAGAGAAAACTCGCATTTTTTTGTTATTTTTTCATCTCATATATATATATATATATATAAATATATTGTAAACTAAATAATGCATGCAGCAAATTTTTTCTAAAAGCACTTTGGGTGACAGTCATCCAAATGAAGCCCATGGAAGGTCCCAAATTGTCATACGTAACCTAATAATTAACTATAAATTCCACATCATCGAAGGCTCATTGTTGACAGTAATAAATGTAGAAAATATGCACGGAGTGCAACCCGGTCAAATGTTTTCTTTAAAAGTACCCACTGCCAGATTAGATATAGGCGGCACTAAACCATAGGGTTTTGACAAATTGCCACAGCTACTTTTCCTCTGTTGACTTCAGTATCACAAATTGTGACCTCTGTTTTTCCTTTGTCCATAGATTATTATATTGTTGATTTCACTACCATAAACTAAAGCCTTCCAAACCATCACAACTTAATTTTACGTTTTGATATACTGGGAATTGTGAAATCTTTGGGCAACTTCATGGAGATTTTACCACTTCACTTGTATCTTCATGCATGAAATGCGTATGAGTGCGTCCGTCTCGAATTACGATTAACTAAGTTTTAAATATTTATCTAACTCAAATGAAGTTGAAAGTTACTCAAGTTACCATAAAATACCTCAACTTTATAGTTATTAAGCAATAAACGTCGTGAAATCTTAAGCAAAGTTTGCATCTTGATGAAATAAGGTACGGGGTGAGTAGCTCATAAATCATTTTGTTCGAGGATCCTTTTGTTTTTTTCCTTTTTTTTAAAACGGTAACATTTTATTAATCATATGTCGGAGTACATAATTAGAGCAACTGCTCTACTAAGGGTTTGTTTGGATTGGCTTTTATTTCCCCAAATATATTTGCTTACATCATTATTACAATTTCTAATA